CCACCACCACCACTGCTACCATCACCACCACTACCAACTGTGCTGCCTCTTCCTTGATGGTCACAAATTGGTGGTGGTGGGGAGGAGGAGGGGCGGTTGAGTCGCTCCCCCCTGCGGTCCCCTGGCCACCCATGCAGAGCGGCGCTCCCTCCGCTGCAGGCGCGCCTCTCTGACTGTCGCCTCCATGTGGAAAATTTGTGTCAGGCAGCGCAGGCGGTGGTGGGTCTTAGTCGTCTGAATGAAAAGGGATGTAAAGGGGTGGTCGGTGGTCAGGGCATCCATACACTCTCAGAACTCCTTGTAATTGTTACAGTAATAATTATTATTGATTACAATTTGTTTGGTTACGTGGCGCTTGATGATGGGTAAAGATTGAATGCAACAACAGGTGAGAGGGGAGGAGAGGGGGGAGACCTTCAGTCCGGGCGTTGATCTCCTGCTCCCTCCCCCCTCCGCCTCGCGTCGAGGTCTCTGCTGTGATGGACCCTAATCTCAGGTGTGCCCCCGACCCATCCCACCGTAGAGCCGCTGCACCGTCTGTCTGGGCCCTTACCCTTTTTACATTCCATCTCTTCCTACACAGCTAAAAGCTTTTGTATACCTGCGCCGCCGTTAACTGAATAGCTTTTAAATTTATTTTCCTCCAATAGAGGCGTACAAAGATCAACTTCAAAAAAACTTTGTCAATTCATGTCCTTTTAATTATCTTAGATGTACAAGTCCAATAAGTGTTTAAAATGCAGGTGCCGTCGTAAATTTATGGCATCTAGAGTCAAAACTTTCTTAATTTTTTACAACTTTGAGTTCGATGGTGTTGGTCTCCGTGGAACAATTCTAAAAGCCCATAGACAACTTTACCATGGTAAAGCAAAAAGCAGAGTCGGTTCCTTAAGTCAAAGTCAGTCTTGCAGATGATAACGGAGCGTGTTTTAAGGGTGTCAGATCAGAATTGAGGCGGAGCCGAATCCACTGTCTGTTTCAACGCCGTTTACGAGATAGCTGGACAAAGTGCTCAAATTTCAATGAGATCAAAATGGACCTACTAATTTTCGACCTAGGTGCTAGACACCAAATTTTAGACCGCCATTCAATTAAACACAGATTTTACAGCTTTCCTAACTTTCATGGGAATTCATTTCTCCATGGAGTTAAGACCAACACCATGGCGAAAGACACACCATGGTAGCATATGCACTATTCGCATGATACGTCCCATGGAAAGCTAGCTCCGAATCCATGGCCCATGGTGGCACTTACTTCCATGGAGGGCGAAGCCGATTCCTCGTGGAAAAGAGGCTCCACATGGAAAGTAAGCAGCTACACATGGAAAACGGTCCTTCTGTTATGGAATAGTGTTCGTGAAATTCCATGTAGGATGCCATAGGATTTTTGGACTGGGACAGGTCCTAGACTCAAGAAACATACTGGACGCAACAGTTTTTCCTACAGATTACTTCAGGCAGTTATTAACTTTAATTAAGTCAAATGATTTATTTCAACATAAGTAAAATTTGGGCTGTTTGCAGACTGTTTATCCTAACTTACAATATCATTCTAGTTTTGCAAGCTAACTGATTAGGTAGTATAATTACTACATACCTAAAATAAGATTATACTTTCCTTGCTGTTTGGTGGGGCTGTTTAAAAGTTTTCTCGCGTTCACAGCGACTTTTCTAGGACTCCCCTTACTGGGCTCACAGTGCCCCGTCCAGCGTCCAGTGCCAGCGCCCCGAAAAGCTTCCGCCGGACCGCCTCGGCCCTGCTTCTTTTCCGCGAGGAAGTCCCGTGAAATATGGAACGGGAGCGCCGGCGGCGGGCCAGGGCACAACTGCACGACCCACATTGCACTGTCTTCCGATGACTAGCGGAGTCGGAAAAGTCACGCGCAAGTGCAGTGCTGTGGCTGGTCCAGCCAGCCGCTGGCCAGCCTCCGCCGTCATCAGGCGCACCATCTTCGTTTCCGGCAGCGACGCTGGCGCCTCCCCGCGGCCGCTCGCCGCACTTACCCAGAACTGGACCAACGTTGCCGCGGTCGCGGCCAGGTCCAGGGGGACCCGACCAGGACCTGCCCGATGCAGGCGCGGCTCAAGGCACTGCGGGAAACCATTTAAGGCGAGCTGGTGCTGGTGGTGGTGGTGGTGGGGTGGGGTCCGTGAAGTGCGACAAGAACAGGGCGAAGTGTCGCGTCTGACGGATGAGCGCGCGTCCTGAAATGACTTTTGAACTCTGCCGCCGCCGCCTCGGCTGCTGCGCCCCGTCGCCAACCCGCTCAGCAGGGCGTCGCAGGACCTGCTCCGTGCTCCACCATGCTCGCACCCAGCCCCGCGGGGACGCGAGCTCCACCGCACGCACGCACGGCACGTGACAGGGACAGAGGAGCGGAGCGCACCATGCCGCCGCTGCTCCGTCTCCCCTTCTTCTTCTTTCCCCTCCTTTGGTTTGCATAAATCAGGGAAGAAAGTGTGTTCTGCGTGCCGCGGCATGCCCTGCGTACGCGCAGGCTGGGGATCGGGATATAGGAGGAGGAGAGAGGGGGGGGGGGGGGCAATTTGCGTGTCGCTATTCACCGTCTGCGTCTCGCGCACAGCAACGACAAGTGTGGCAGCAGGGCGGGGTGGGGGAAATGACTTGTGGAACGCCCCTATTGCCTCTCTGCAAAATAAGCCGGTGAACACACAGGCGG